GCTGTACTAAATAAAATAATATAAATAACTGGCGGTGCCCCTCATGGTTGGGATGCACTAACCTAAAACCCTGGACCACCTGGACTACCTGGGCCTTATTCTACCTATCTTACTGCCTGCTTCACTGCCGGTCTTGCTGCCTGCCTTACTACCTGCCTTACTACCTGCTTCACTGCCTGCCTTACTATCTACTATACTACCTATCTTACTGGGTTCTTCCTGCTGGTCTTACTGCCTGTTATGCTGCCTGCCTTACTACCTGCCTTACTACCTCCTTCACTGCCTGCCTCACTGCCTACCTTACTACCTGCCTTACTGCTTATCTTACTACCTGCCTTGCTATCTACCTTGCTGTCTACCTTGCTGTCTACCTCACTGTCTACCTCGCTGTCTACCTGTCTACTCCTGTCTACCTCACTATCTACCCCACTACCTGTCTTACTTTCTGCCTGCTGTTCTGCCTGCCTCATGCATGACCTTCCTGGGGCCTTATAATCTACTATACTACCTTGCTTGCTATCCTAATCACTACCTCACTGCCTGCTGTTCTCCCTGCTATTTGACCTGCCCTTCTGCATCCTATTCTGCCTCCTATTCTGCCTCCCATTCTGTCTACCTCACTGCCTGTCTTGCTGCCTGCCTCATGCATGACCTTACTGTCTACCTCTGTCTACCTTCCTATCTACCCTTCCTGTCTACCCTCACCCTGCCTACCTTACTATCTACCTACTGGTCTCTCTTGCTCCCTCCCTACCTACTAACCATGTCTATCATAACTATGGTTGATATTATATATATGCATATGTATAAACCACTATTCAGCTAACATACTATATAGAACTAACTGTATAATATATATCTCTGCGCATTATGGTATACTAAAATATATTATTCATTCCTAAATATATCAATGCTGATCGACCTTGATCTCCTGACATAACTGCTATAACCAATAAAATGATGTAAATAACTGGCTGTGCCCCTTGTGGTTGGGGTGCGCCTGCCCTAAAAACTGGACTACCCTGGGCCTCATCCTGCCCATCAACCCCCATTCCCTGCAACCACGCGCTGCCAATATGGGCTTGATCTGGCCCTGCCATGGCCTGAATAAACATCATGGCCACCATGGGGATTCAAAAACACCGCGGTATTTGCTATGCGTGGCCTGGCTCCCACGCCATGGGCATATGGATTGGGGGCATACCGCATGAATAACACGCGCTATATGGCGGTGTATTGCACTTGCTGATGCACGTGGATCATCCATGCCCGTGCGGCCTGCTGTGGGGCTGATGACATGCATATAACTTATGGCCACCATCACCCCCTGCATGGCGTATATATAACATTGGTCCTGCCACTGCATGCATTTGGCCTGGGCATCTCCTCATCCAAACCCTGCTGGGTCCGATGCTGCTGCTGCTGGATATCCATGCGGCCCACTGCTGGGCCTGTGCCTGCTGGTGTGCCATACTGCCATGGGAATGGATGGCTGGCTGCAAAATGACTTATTGGATGGGGTGGGACTGCCTGATGGTGGGGTCACCCTGTATGGTGCCTCTCTGGCTGCCTCTCTTGCTACCATGCTACCTGCCTGGCATGGGCCTCTCTGACTACCTCTCTCTCTACCTCTCTCCCTGCCTCTCTCCCTGCCTTACTGCCTGCCTTACTGCCTGCCTTACTGCCTGCCTCGCTGCCTGCTTGCTGCTGCCTCGCTGCCTGCCTCCGCTGCCTGCCTCGCTGCCTGCCTCACATGGGGCCTCTGGGGCTGCCTCACCCGGCACTGGGCTGCTACCAACCCTGGCTGGATCCACCTCCAGCTCTGCCTAATTGGGATCATACCATCACATATCTGCTCCCTGGGATCCGCATCCTGGTAATACTGCTGCTGATACCCATCCACCACTCCATCCAAATACTGATCTAACATGACCTGGTGGCACCCAATGCCTTCTACCACCCCTATACTCAGCAACCTGCTCCTGGTCCTTAGGGGCGACGCCCTCCATCCATGGAGCTGGGGTATCCCACCCAGCTGGCTGGATAATGATTGCCTCACTGTGCTGTCCATCTCGCCCAGCCCGGCACTCTCCTGCGCGTATCCAGTAATGTCCAGGGGGTCCCAATATGGATGATGCTGCGGATATTGGGGATGTCCCACCCCATGCTAACGCGCTGGTGGTGGCGATCACGGGCTGGCCCCTATGAACCGCGCCAGCACCCCGGCCTTGTCCAACTGCTCGCTGTAATATGCCTTGCACCTAAGCACCTGCGCATGGCCGTCACCTGCCTGATGATATTTGCATATATATCACCTTCCCCCAGCGGCCTGGTCGGATGTGGTCCTGAATGAATGCTACCACCACCTCACTCTTAATCCACTGATATAGGCCCCGGCCCACCCTGGTCATGTCTGGCTGCCACACCTGGTATGCCACGTTCGGCCGCTGGTCTGGGCCCGGTATATGGTCATGGTGGCCTGGTCATACTTCATCTGCTGGCATAATTTAGCTCCATGCTCGGGGGCAATGTGGCGGTTAACCATACTATCTGGGTGCGGCCTGGACCAACCAGCCCAGCTGAGCCATCTGGGGCTGGAAATTATGTTGGGAATTCAACACCACATGGCATTTATTGATCACAATCCGGTCTAACCGCCGGGTCCACCGCAGCCGGTTCAAAAATGTCTGGAAATCAGGGCTCACCGCGATTTAGGCGTCGACCTAACATGATGGATGCGGCATTGGGGGCTGCCGGCTCTCCCATGGCACACATGATATGCTGAGCTCCTGGCAGCGCCTGGTCATATCAGCCTGTAATGCAATGAGTGGCACCACAACAATAGGTGGTGCCCCTGGGGGCGTGGAACGCGGCACCATGAATAGCATGCTCTTCCCCCTACTAGTGGGCATCACCGCCACCACAGGGCTCTCACCCCGCTGGATGGCCTGCATTGCCGGGTCCTGCACCCCCCGGAACCGCATGTCGGCCGCCCAGTCATGTGCTGCGCGGCTGCCTCTAGATCTATAGTGGCCAGCTGGTGGCGGCGTTCCATGCGGCTGACCTCAGCCTCATCCTCCCACGGGGCCTGTTTGCGCTTGCCTAATATGGATAGGTGGCCCGGGGTGCTAAACCCTAAAAACTGATGCTAATTGGTGCTGGATAACTGGAACATCTCCTGCTGGTGGGCTGTGCTGCCGGCCTGTTCCTGCATGACACGGCCATATACCATGCCGGCAACGTGTGATGAATGGGCGGCCTGTAAATTAGTAATATGGCCTATCCACTGCTTGATATCCATGCCCTCCTTAGCATCAGCATCCATGGCAGCTGGGGCCGGCTCGGCCTCCTGGATATTATGGGGGAACGCGGTGGACGGCCGCAAAAATCAGTGGCTGATGCCAATGGTGATGTCCCGGTATGCGGCGATATGGATGGTGGTGCCTAGCTGGGTGTGGGTTTCCTGTTTCAACGCCTCCCGGAACCGCTCAGACGACTATTCGCGGCCAGTACTGGGGTTGGGGGCCCATAACCATGCCTGCATGGCCTGGTTCCCCTGCGTGGGCTGGCTCCCCTGTGTGGCATCACTTCCCTGCGCGGCCTGGCTTCCCTGCACGGCGTGACTTCCCTGCTTGGTGTGACTTCCCTGCGCTGCCTGACTTCCCTGCGCCGCCTGCGCCGCCTGCCATGCAGCTAACTGATTAATGAATGGTATCACCAGCTATATATACTATACTACTAACTCCCCGACCTCCTGCGGCACATATTGATGGATGATCTTGATATCATTGCTAGCATGGAATCCCTTATGATATGCTGTTACAAATGTCACCATGCCATCCTTGATATATATATTCCGCTGTTGACTATTTGCTGTGTTGCAATGCTGAATGCTTAATAACTCTGGGGCCTGGGCCGGCTGCCCTGCAGTGACATGCATGATAATTACTAATTTCTCCTTAAACTGGGCCACGCGCTGCCAATACTGCTGGATGGTGGTGGGGTGGAATTAGCTGCCCCGCAGAAAATGCCGCTGCATGACCGGCTCGGCCCGCAGCCAGTTGATCATCTAGTGGGTCCCATCCACCGGCCACTGGGTCCGTGCATTGTGCAGAAAGTTCCACCCTGCCTGGCTCTGGCTGGGATCGTCATATAATGCTGTCTAGGGAATGGTAGGCATCTGCGCATGATCCTGCATGCATAAATGGCCTAGTATCTCCCTTGCTGCAGTTACTAATCCATGGATGAATCCCTGAAAATCCCCCATCGTGAACGCCATCTGCTGGTATAATAACTGGTCCTCGCCTATCCATGTCACATGTCCGGGCGCGGTATGATTATAATGGACCTTTAATCCATATGTGTGCTAGTCTAGCAATGTTTCCATGGGGCCATGTGTCCCACAGATCATAAACTGGTGCATCATCCATGTCACCTGCTCCTGGAATGGTCGCCGGCTCTGGCGAATGTTGACTGCGGGTAATGGATCATCGCTATGGATGGATGATGGGGCGATGATGGTGGTGATGATGGGGGTCATCACTGCTATATCCCTTATTAATCTCCCTAAGTTGATCATCTGCGCTAGCTAGCACCCATTCAGTGCTCTGGTCCTTTTGTATCCAGGTCTGAATGATCTGCCATGGATTTGGGTCTATCTATAGTGCTTTCTGGACCACTATGAATCGGGCCACCTTGATCACGCGGGATAATATTGGGGGGTAGCTCTTAGGGTCCTGCTAGCTAGCCTCACCTTGACTGAGCACCGCCATGGCGCATACTAATGCACTCTCATATTCATGACTGCGATGGCGCTGGTTAAGCAGCTTAATGCAAAATTCTAAGCATGCTTTTTCTATCATGGTCATCACCCATACCTCTAGGTCCTCCGAGACCTCCCGGTCCCCTGGAACTGCGGCCTGGCTAGCAAGCTGCCACAGCTGCTGCCATTTCTGGCGCTGCCGCACAGTCATCCCATATTTTGGACTTATCCAGTCATGCGGCGCCTGCATGCGGGCAATGAATGCTAATATCTGCTGCCATGGATGGACATGCTTCTGGATTGCCGCCTCATCCATATACGCCAGCAGTAGCTGGTATGGTGTCTGTCCTTTTTCAGACTGGACTGCTTCCACCTGAATGGCCTGGCCGCAGTGCTAGACCGTCTGCTGGCTCTTGCGGGCGACCTGCTCCATTGTATGCCAGATCACCTGCACGCACTGCTCAGTGGCATCCTGGGGATCTTCCTCCGGGGCTGCCACGCAGGCAAGTAGGTTATGCGCCTGGATACCCTGCAGATAGTCCGCCCACCGAGTCATCCGCAGCCAGGGATTCGCGTCAGTCAACTGGCTCGCCTGGATCGCCTGATCGGCCTGAGCGCGGGCCTGCGCCTGCTCCCACGCCTGCACCACCTCATCTACCGCAGCCTGCACGCGCTGGATTGATGGGGGCGGGGGGACTCCATCTGGATATCAAATATGGATATAATGGGACCCGGGACCACTAGGAAACACCTGCTGCCATGAGACATATTGGAATGACTGCTGCACCTCAGTATCACCCCTAGCCTTCTCCTTCTGGCTAACCCGCCCGCGATGACTCTGCTGGGACCACTGGTGAACAACCTGCCAATGCTTTCGCATAGATTTAATTGTTGCTGCTATATATTGGCATTTGGTTTGATCACGCAGGCAGCGCAGGCCATCAGAATGAGATGGTAATATAGGCAGCGGCTCATCTAATGCTTGAGGTATCTGGATAGTGCTACTATCATACTGAATATCCTGCTATTTAGATATTGCCTCAGTGATCTGGATTGCAACTGCATGCTTTAGGGAGTGCTTCTTCTTTAGATGTTGTTCAACCTCTGTTAGTCGTACCCCATGCTTGCATTGACGGCAGATAAGAATACCTAAGGTAGGCACCTGATGAAATAATTGATTTTCCATGATAGTAAGGATGGAATGGATAGTCATGAATGAATAGTGATGAATGAGTAAGATACAGAAACATCTTTACCCCTGAATCTAAGGTATGGTTAGTCTCGTGAGGCTGCACCTGATGAAAATCCGGCTATTAATGATGAGAATTCAACCACTAACCACCTCTTTATTCTAAGTTAGATTCTCTTAAAATTTGATCTAGTTATTAATAAGGGCCAGGTATATTACCGATTAAAATTTCAGGATGATACACCTTAGGATCTAATTATGATGGTAGAATCTAATTATAATAGCCCTTATTACTCTATCCTTTGTAGGATACGCCGCACCCACGAAAATCAGGCTGTTGATTATGTAGAATTTAACCACAAACCATCTCTTTATTCTATGTCAGATTCTCTTGAAATTTGATCCAGTTATTAATAAAGGCTAGGTATACTACCTATGAAATTTTCAGGATGATACACCCATAGAATCTAATTGCGATGAGCCCTTGAAATCAATTCCACCCAGCACCGCCAAGGAATATTTCCGCCAATCAGCACACTGTAAATTTTCGACCCTAATAGCGATGAGCCCTCATCGCTCCATCCCTTGTAGAATAGGGGCCCTATTATTTTATAGATTTAGTATATCTTATTCTACTAGATATAATAGATAGGCCTAGATAGGTCTAGATAATTATAGAATTACTAGGCTAGTATAAGTTAAATATATTTATTTCCCTTTATTATATATATTTATATGTAAATATATATTCATAAATTAAATATCTCCCTAGATCTAGATGACTCTACTATATATATAGTTACTAACTAAAGCTTTACCTACATCTGAATGACCCTACTATATATATATTTTAGACCTGTTAAAGCTGAATCACCTAGT